TTTAAGTTGATTTCCATAGGGGGCGTGAACATAAACTATTTCAGTACAAAATATTACAAAAGGAGAATTTGAAAAAACCAAAATTGTATTTTGGGGTAATTCCACCGTAGTGATGACATTTTTTTTAAAAAAAGAAGTTGTCAAGAATTTTCAGAAGCTGCTGGAAACAATTCTGAACTGAAGTATGAACTTTGATATGTGACATGAGTCACGTAACATGAGTCACATGTTATTATGTAGCAATCCTTCTATTGTAATCCAAAATATAAAATTTCTTTGTGTTGTTAGCTTGCCTAACATATAGTCTGTTACTTCATATATATAGACATTGTATGTTTCTCCTTCCAATAGTTCCCGAAGAAATTCAAAAGTAGTTAGGTTGGTGTTACCTCATGTCACTTTGTGGTAACAGGAGTCACACACCAATTTACGGCCGCCAATCGTATCATGTTATAATCAAATGTTTAATTTTTACTATGAATCAGTAGCTTGTACCACTATTTGTACCTGCATGCAAGAATATAACATGAGTCACCATGAAAATTTTACCCATATACGATAATACGCTATGCAGTATAATATCGAGCCAGTTTCAACTCATGCATTTTGTTTCAATATCGTTTTGAAAGAACCTAAGGAATCAGCAGTTTTTGCCTTGTGGGGAAGATTATTCAACTGATCTATTACAGTTTCTTTATAAATGAAGCACCTCTTGCCGAATTCTTTCTTCGGAATATACAGTAGGAAGAGCTAAATCATTTCTGAGATTGTATGTATTTTCCTCTTTCCTTACTGGAAAGAAAAAACTTCTTTTAGATTAAGTGCGGATCGAGTGGCCATTTAGAATTTTATATATAAAAATAGCTGCTTCTAAGTAATTTCGTCTTAACTTCTAATGGTTTTCAATTTAAGTTTCTAAGTAAGTCAGCGGTACATCGTATGTTGCCCTAAATCCTAATAATTATTCTTGCAGCACGACTGTAATATTTTTGGAGCCCGTCGTTGAGGCCAATTTCACAATTATGATATTATCCCATTAGTCTTTCATCCATATTCACGCTAAGGCATGAATATTAGCAATAATACATATCTTTGACTTTCCTCGTATAATTTTTAAATATTTTTATAGTTATATAGTACTGATATATGCACGTCTTCCATGTAAATTTGTTTATTTAGTTCAAGACCTTTCAGAAAATCACTTTGTGAGAAAGCTTCCTGAAAATATTATATAATTTTAAAACAATTATCAGTCCTGGGTATTGCCGTATTGGATTATTATTTATTAGAATAGGCTTATTAGATATCTTATTCTTAAGGTTATAGGAAGACCCAATAAAGATATTAAGTTTCAGTCCTCATAGAATGCGTGTAATTGGCTGATCTGGTGCTCTGTGTCCCAAGAAATCCGAAAACTATTGAAATAACGTATTGTTATAGAATTTGAATGCTTCAGCACTCTGCTGAACCCACATGATCACGCGTGCATCAAAGCTTGACATAAGTAAATTTTACGCATAAAGAAGTTTAGGAAGCTGCTTTAAATTCCCAAGAGTAGAAAATCGTGCGCTTTACAAAGATATTTTAATTTCTTATTAAGGGACTGCTCATTATTTATTGTACAGGGGGAGACTGAGGAGAAACTATACAGTTATAATATTTTTTCATTGTCCCCCTCTTAAGACAAGAAAAATCTTCAACCACCCCCCCCCCCAACAGGCAAAACAAGAACATTAATTTTGGTTCCCCCCTCCCCCTCTAGCTCTTTATCTTTATTTAGAGAAACAAAAACTCTAGCTCTTTATTTCGAGAAACAAAATTAGATAATGGGGACCAATAGACAATTCCCATTATAGACTAATTTTTTATCTTAGCCAAAAAAGTATATTCCCGGGAAAGGCATACTAAAATTAGTAAAACTGCAAAGTTTGGTTGCAAAGTGTTGTAAAATGTAAAAATATATAGCTTTCCAAAGTTTGCAAATTTTGTATAATTTTGTATTGCAATTTTCGCATGCAATACAAAAGTATACAAAATTTGCAAAATTTGCAAAGCTATATTTTCCGTATTTTACAACATTTCGCAACCAAACTTTGCAATAATTTACTTATTTTAGTATGCTCTTGCTAGCTGTGGTGATTTACTTGCATCAAGGCCGGATTGACTGTTTTTCACCTCCCCTGAGAATTTTTGCACCTCTCCTGAAAGGTCATGTACCTCCCCTTGGGAAAGTTTCAATGATGGAACAAAGTGAAAATGTGATGGTTGCTTAGGATCTACAATTATATTATAAGGCAATATTTAATATATGCACTCTTGTCAATATTTTACGCATCTTTGCGTTCAGCTTAGTGCTAGGGCATTCAAATTTTAACAGTACGTTATTTCAATGGTTTTGCGGATTTTTTGGGACACCCAATGCTCTTCCAACTGAGCTACGCGGTCAGGACGGTTCGAGTAAGTGATATTTCGGAACAGAATCTAGTTCCTTCGATACCAATGTTTTCTATTAATATGAATTTTTTCTGTGTTGGTGTAGTGTACTCAGGTGAACCGTCCTGACCGCGTAGCTCAGTTGGAAGAGCATTGGGCTAGTATTCCAAAGGTCGTAGGTTCGAATCCCACCGTGGCCGGGCATATTTTTCAAGCTCGCCCGGTGTGGATATACACTCAGAGTAACACCACAAATACGATATCAATTGTTGAGTCAAACTTGTTGTTTGCGTTCCAACATATACGAATCAAAACGGGCCTGTTTGAGCTTTCTTTTTTGAAAATATAAGCTTTTTTCTGAAGGACATTGAAATATTGAATCTCGTTGCCATGGAAACGAGATCATATTTCGTCATTTCGGTTGTCCTTTCTCTCTTGCTTTTGGATGATTTGAAAGAAAATTTGAATATTTTTGCAGTCTGGTGAATCAAGAGACAGGTGACGAGTTTAAGGCCTGGTTACCCAGCAATTTACGCACATTTTGTTCAGCGAAGCTCACTGCTCACACTTCCAAAATACAAACTTGCTGTCGACAATAAATCTGATTTTAATACTATATACTTTGCTTTATTACATATATATTTTGCTGGAGATTGTTTTTGGAGGTTTTATTTATTTGTTCATGCTGAAAGTATCGGAAAAGAAGCGATTTCGAGGCAAAAATCGCTGGAATGTCGAGGTTTCAAGTTCGTGTGAACACGTGATGATGAACATATTTTGATTTTTGAACAATGCTCAACAGCCTCAAGTACAGGGAAAACTACTCCTGCAAGAGAAACTGCATCTATACGAAAGTTTTGTAATCAAGCTGCTGGTAACAGTGATGATTTGGAGAATTCTTTCAGCTATAGACTGATAGAATTGTCAAGTTTGATGAGTGTATTCCAGCCCTTACACTAATTATGCCAGGCTGGGGGAAGAGTTGACCTTGAGAGATGAGGTGGCTCGGACTTATGGCAATAGTTTGGTTATTGAAATAGAATGATTCAAGTGTGACATTAAAGTAGAGCTCCACCAACTTCAGGGAACACCAGTGGGTCAAACTGCTATGGACATCAATAAACGGATGGTGTATGCTGCATCAGAAATGGGTGTCGGCAGAGAAAGCATGTCTGCGATGCATGACATTTTGAACATGGCTTCCCTGCGCAATCGCAGTGCATGGAATAACCACACATAAGAAGGTTGTAGCAGAAAATTTAGAAAAAGCAAAAGAAAAAGTGAGTTCACTTCATGAACCAAATGAGTCGAACGTGGTACAGATTGCAGTAAGTTATGTCGGTACATGGTCGAAACGAGGATATTGATCTATTTGAAAAGCGTCAATGTCGGGAAAAGCAACAAGAAGAAAGATGAGAGAAGCCAAATTGGCAGCTCAACAGCAGAATGAGAAAGGTGAACCATCCTATAGCAGTGGAAAGTATAATGAAGCTGA